ACAGCTGCTGAGCTGGTGCAGGGAAGTCACCATGCTCCTCTTCCGGAGCCAGGGCCCCCTCCCGTAGCGCGCCTGGCAAAGTAGCCAGCACCACTTCCAGAACTCCCGGAAATGCTACCCCCATTTTCGCTTGAGGTAAGTACTGGGGCTTCTCGAGGGTGGGTGGAAAATGGGGGAGGGGGGGAAAGGGCGGTTGCCTCGCAATCGACTGGTCAAGGCCTTGCAATCGACCAGTTGATCGCGATCGACCTGTTGGTGACCACGGCTCTAAGATCTACTGGTAGATCCCCATCTATTGGTTGGTGACCACTGCTCTAGTCCACTCAGGGACCCACCTCAGCTCCTTAACTTCAGAGGGTCCGTCGTGTGGGAGTTTGAGCCATCCCGAGACAGCCAGCATTGGCTGTCTGATCACTCCCAGGGTGGGTGGAGGTGGGGACTGAGCTTGAACCCAGCATCCTGCACTCCCCGAACAAACTCCCTCTTGCCCAAGCCGCACCACAACCCACCCCACCTCCCTACCTTATCCTGCCTTCCTAATGCGGGAGCTTGTTCCATGTGAGAGGCAGCCTGTGTTGGCGGCCCCGATGAGCCCAGGGTGGATGGAGGGCTGGGACAAGACTCCCCAGGCAAATGCCGTATCCCCTAGGCCACACTAGAACCCACCCCCCCACTGTCAGAGGGTCTCTTATCCTGTCATGGCTGTCTGGTCACTCCCAGGGTACGTGGGGGGCAGGACCTTGGATGCCGAGTGGTGACTGGACTTAAGCCCACCAGCCTGCGCTACCCAGCCAATTCTTAGGCCACTCCAAAACCCACCCTACCTCTTTACCTTCAGAGGGTCCCTTATCCTGCCTTCCTCATGTGTTCAGGGCTTGACAAGCTGCAGCGAGCCCTGCTCACCAGCCGCACGATTTGGCACGCTGCACATACGCTGATCGCGCTGCGGCGCCGTGCCGGCTTAAAATCTACCCGCCCCGGGCAAACAGATTGACTAATTTGTCGAGCCCTGCTCATGCAGGAGCCAGCTCCATCCCTGTGGCAGCTGGTGTTGGCTACCGGGCCCTGTTCTTCCCCCTCCGGAACCCACCACACCTCCCTACCTTGAGAGGGTCCCTTATCCTGCCTTCCTCCTGTGGGAGCCAGCTCCAGCCTGGGGGCAGCTGGTGTTGTCTGTTCCACTGCTTCCAGGGTGGCCAGGACTCAAGCCCCTAATCCTGCGCTCTTCAGGCAAATACCCTATCCCCTAGGCCAGTCCAGAGCCTACTCCACCTCCCGACCTTCAGGGCATCTCCTTCCATGCTCCAAACCCCTCGGCCCAAGACCAGAGCCTGCACCCCAACCCCAGCCTGGTGAAAGTGAATGAGATTCCGGGAGGGAGTGAGCAGGGTGAGGGCTCAGAGAAGGGGTGGATTGGGGGCAGGAAGGAAGCTGGAAAAGGGTATTTGGGGTTGAGATAGATCTTACACTGAAACAGTGATCTTGTGGTTAAAAAGGCTGAAGACTACTGGGGTAGGGGGAGTTAGGGTAAAGGAGGGGGCTCACAGTTGGGGTGTGCAGTCTAGGAAAGAGCTGGGGTGGTAGAGTGGGACCATGGCTGGGGCAGGGAAAACAGGTGGCTACATGCTGCCCCATGCTCAGCTGCAAGCACTGACCCCAATTTCCTTCCAAATGGGAATTTCAGGGACAGCATTAAAGAGTTTGCAGTAACATGGCTCCAGCCCGGGAGCATGGGAGAAGCACAGCAGGAAGGAACAGTCTACCGTGCCTCCTTGCCGCCAGACAGGGCTGGCCCAGAACACAGGGGCCTTGTAGGCTGCATCCCAGGATGAATGAAAGGAAGAATACGGCTGTCATCCAGACTTTACATTAGGAGTTATATCCTTGCAGTGATGATCAGAAGTAAGTAATTTTGGAGAAGTAAGATGATGGGTAATGCTATTGGCACATCAAGTGCATTCTTGTATATGCATACAGTAATTACATATACAACAGGAATCCCTAGGGTTGCCAGGGGTCTGGTTTTCACCCGGACTGTCCATCATTTAGGTCTCCTGTCTGGTAAAAAACCCAGGAAATACCGGACATGTGAAATAGCTGGTATTTCCTGTTTCCCTTGGATTGAAGCTTGGCGGGAACAATTTTCCCCTGCCACGACTGGAGGGGGTGGAGAAGTGAGGAGCGTGGGGCCATTTAAGGCACAGTGCTTTTTTGGGGTGGGGCTTAACTTTGGTCTCCCCCTTTCTCTCCTGAATTTTTCCCCAGGGTTTTTTTGGGGGGGGGGGGGGGGGGTTCAGTATTTTTTGTTAAACCATCTGGCAACCGTAGGAATCGCTTGCCATTCTGCTTCTCTGAAAGTATCATGTAAGATTTTCTCTGCTCTGCATGAGCTGCCTAGCTTGAGAAGTGAAATTCCAAGTTCTGAAAGGTCATTTTTCCCTAAGGGCAGAAGGGCATGAACTATGGGACTAACTCATCCATGGAACCTTTCTATTTAGCAGGAAAATAAAATCCATTCCAAAATAAGCCACAATCACAAATATTGGAGGCACTGACTTTTCAAAAGACAGCAAAGCTCTAGACAGATACCTCAGAAGGGTCCCCTCCAGGCTGAGGGCAGGGTGATAGATGAGAAAAAGAATCTGCAGTGATCCCAGGAAAGCAAGATTAGAAGGTAACTGTCCATTCTTTAAACAATACCATCCCTGAAGGAGTCATACTCCTGGCAAAAAAGGAGTTTAAAGGAAATCCCAAAACAGTTTCAGTAAGACAAACCAACTACAGCAAGGCCAAAGCCAAATGTAAGATTTTTAATATCGGAGTAGCAAGACCAGGCTTAAAGTCTTAAAGGTGGCACTGCACTCTGAGATGGTGAGGTCTCTGGTTCTGAACGTATTTTGCAGGAATAGACAAATGACAGCACGCAGGCTGCATCTGACCTGCCTGACCTTTAATACAGCCCCCGAGCTTTCGTTGGGGAGGGGTTCAGGAGCTTTCCCTGGTCAGGTACTCAAGCTAGAGAACAAGTGAGGGCCTTGTCTTGCTTTGTTCCATCCATGCAGCAGTGCCTGATCCCCGCCCCATCTGCCTTCCAGACCCTTCGATCCCTGTCTGGCAGTCCTCCTGCACTCTAAACTCCTCATCCTCAACCCAACCACAAGCTTGGATCCCCAGCCAAAGGCCCAACCCTAGCACTCCAACTACCTGCCCCAGCTCTGAGCCTCCTTCCCGGTCCTGAACCCCTCAATTCCAACCTCCAAACGACTCAGCCTGACCCCGGAGCCCGCACTCCCAGAGCATTTACCTCCCCTGTACTCCAATCGCCAGCCTCAGCAGCAAGCCCCTTCAGTCCCAGCCCGGAGCACCCTCCTGCACTGTGAACTCATTTCAGGCTCCACCCTGGCATCATCAGCCAGGGCTCTCGCCCCCTCCTGTATCCAACCCCCATTTTGTGAGCATTTCTGACCCTCCATATAGTTTCCATACTGAGATGTAGCCCCCATGCCAAAACGTTTGTCCACCCCCAATATATAGAGAAGACCCTGGAGTCTTTGAATGCGTTTACATTGCAATTAGACAATTTTAGCTGGCCTGCCAGCTGACAGACTCAAGGGACCAAGGGGCTGTTTAACTACAGTGTAGCTGTTCGGACTTAGGTTGGAGCCTGAGCTCTGGGACCCACCCATCCACACAAGGTCCTAGAGCAGGGGTTCCCAACATGGCACCCGCTGGGGCATTATGTGCGCCCGCACCAGTGTTTTAAAACAGTGGTCCCCGAAGTGGGGTGCGCGCACCCCCTCTGAGAGGGGAGACACCAGGTTCACAAGACATCCGAGGGAGTGCATACACGGCGCGTTCAAACGCCAGCACAACAGCGGAGAGGAGACGCCTGGTGTGCCGTGATGTCACGGCTCGGGACTTTACAATTTAAAACTGCGCGGCCCAGCTCCAGGCCTGGCACGTGGTCTGGGGCCAGCCCTGATCACAGACTCAAACTGGAAGGCAGAAGGTGGGGGGGGGTGGGAAAAATAGGGGGAAGGGGTGTGTGAGGAAGGGGCTTGTGCTGAGGGGAGGGGGGCAGGTCAGGAGAAGAAAGGGGAAGGCACCAAGGGACAGCATGGAAGAAAGACAAATGCCAGGGAGCCAAGTGGACCGTGTTCATGAGACAGCTAGGGTAGCTGTCCCAGTACACAGGACTGTGGATACACCACTGGTGGAGGAGGAGACGGCTCAGGGTGGACAGTGGCAGCTGGTTACTTCTAGCAGTAGGCGCTATTCCTCCCCTGCTCCGAACCCTCCCTCCATGGTACTAGGAAACTGCTCTTCTTTATACAAGAGATAAGCAATCACCTCCTACACCGGAGGAGGAGAAGCCCAAGGCTGGGAGGTCTGCGGCCACCACTGCGAATAGGAAACGTAGGGTAGTGGTGGTCGGAGACCCTTTTCTAAGGGGGGGCAGAGGCGCCCATGTGTCTCCCTGACATTTCATCTGTCTGCCGGGGGCCCATATCCGAGATGTTATGGAGGCATTGTCAAGGATTGTCCGGCCCTCTGACTACTACCCCATGCTTCTCATCCATGTGGGCACTAATGATACTACAAGGTGTGACACTGAGCGGATCAAGAGTGACTACAGACTCAAGAAATTATACTTACCGTGAGAGGATGGGATTTTTCATCAAAAATATCCAATGATCTATCTGAATCTCTATCAAACAAGAGAATGCATTTTACCAATGGAGAGTAACTACTAGCAAAGCAATGCTTTTGATATTTCAAAAATTGTTCACCACATTAAAGCATTTTAAAAAGTGTTATATGATTTTCCTACACTCCCATAAAAGTGATTATGAAGTAACTTTCCACAATTGAAAACATTTAATAAGCAAAAGCAAGCATGTGAACAGCTAGCTATGTTTTCACTACCAGAAGTTCAATTAAGCATCTGAAAAAAGGACTTAGTGCTGACTTCAATTTATTATATAGATTTTTCCAAACCGAAAACTTTCGTCTCATTCTGAAGTAACACTTCACGTACGATGTATGCTGTGGCTAAATAAAATCAGGTCTAAGATCTGGCAGCACAGTGCCAGTGGACCTACAGCTAGGCCTTCACTGAAAAAAAATGTTCACATTGAAATCGCTAACTTGAGTTAGTGTCAGGGATATAAAATGCATTTATTAGGGTAAAATTTCAGCGGTTGCATGTTTACACGGGTGGGAAGACAGCTACCTGAGAGCCACCCCCTGCTCTGGCTGAGAAGGGAGGACAGGTGGGAGCTGGTACATGCAGGGAGTTGGCTTTTGAGCGTGCTCCCCATGTGCATCGGCTCCCATGGAGCCACATGCCCCCAGCCATGCTGCTGCCCCTCAGTGTTGATGTAAAATCCTAGCAGAGAAAGCACATTTGCACCCAGCATAGCTATAGACTAGCTTAGGACAGCACCTGGAGTTTATGGCATCAAGGCAAAAGAGTACCTGAACCTTATCTCTCCTGGAATATTACAAACAGCTAACTCAAGTTAGCGATCTAAATGTCAAAAGCACGTTTTTCCAGGGAAGATATAGCAAGCATTGTACTAGTGACCGTCTTGGCTGCAGCTACCTTGGGGAGCTCCCACTGGCCCTGTCCTGACTAGGAAAAAATGGCGTATTCATTAATACATGTTAATGAAATACCACTTTACTTTGACTCGCTAATGTGTTAAAAATAAAACCTTGGCTCCCCAGAATTTACTTCAGCCAACTAATACTTGTAAAACTACAACAGTCTTGGCTACAGTAGGGTTTTAGCAAATTAGCTAATGTGCTTTTAAAAACACACTTCCCCCCTAGTAGACATGGCTCTGATGTATTTTTTTCCCCCAATTGCATTAGCTTGAATTAACTCAGCATGATGGAAAAGCCTTTTTAATGTCTCTTACAATGGAGGCTAGCACATTTGAAGCCATGTTCACTGGTCACATTGTAATTTAGGCTTCCCTTAGACTTTAATTAGATTAGTTTAACATTTTAAAGGTAGCATGTCTTGTCTAAAACAGACATGGTACGGATCAACATCTTAGCTAACATCATACCTTAAATCCTAATCTATACAAAATCATAAACAATAAAAGTGTTTTTCAAACACTAACCTGACTGAGCTAATGCTGTTAAAATATGCCCAATTTTTTCCCCATCAAAAAGGGTGGATACCTTTCAAGGATAGTCTCCCCTCCCTAAAAAGGAGTCTAAAATCTGTAGGGGTGGAGTTATGATGTGCATCCCTCCTCCCACCCCACCTGGAGGGGTAGAGTGCTGTCCACTCTCCACTGAGTTTTTACCTCAAATTCATCTATTTATAACTGATTGGCAGAATTGATAGGCAGTTCATAAGATTGTATAGGCTAGCTAGACATTCGTGGCCTCCCATATGAACTAGTCTTCATAATCAAAGGGACAGACTATCTCAAAAGGTAGTTAATCTTAGGCAAGACCTCTAGCAAAAATAAAACTGCAGCAGATCGCAACTCCACAGAAGTGAAATCTTCACAAAGAGGGCCCATGACAGAGAGATGGTTGGAACCCCTCTGCTATCAGATCTTAGAGACATGATCTGGCTTTAAAAATAAAAAGCTGTTGACTGTTTAATGCACAGTCAGGCCATGTTCTTTATTTCTATTATCTAAAATGGCAGCTACACCAGCAGCTTCATGAGTGGCAAAATGTTCTACAAGGCTCATCATTCATTTCCCAATTCAAATATTTAGCATACCACGGAAAGGGACTAGGTCATATGTAATGTGATTGCCAATCTGTGGTATTTGCACAGAACGTAGTACACAGGGCAACATTTTCTTATGAACATCTAAATTGTAATAATCTAAGCCTCTTATTATTTAGGAGACAAACCAAAGCCCAGCTCAAGTGCTGGTACACTTAAAAACAGCAGCAGGAGTTCAGTATATTTTTCCAGCACTGTCACTAAGTTCCGTGCTTCACCCTTGACATAATATTGACCATATGCATTAAAGGTGGTCCATCAGCCCAGGACATAAAGATGAAGGAAAGGCAGTAGCTCCCTAAAATTGTATGCAGTTTTGAAGCTAAATTACTTTTATGCCAGTACAGCTCAGATGACTTGGTTGTACAACTACAGCTTAACAAGCAACAGTTGTGATTTTACTTAACTAGAAAAAGAAGTTTAGAGAGTGCTCACCTGTTCTTTATGTGGTAGTATATTGCTAGCGTCACACTGCAAGGAAATGGGAAAAAGGTTATTTTACTGAAGCATATTCTGTTATGACACGGATGCTGCTTAGAGATAGGAATGGTTAACTGGTGGTCCGCCCTGGCCAGAGCAGTCCCCACCCATGGCAGGAGGCCAGGCCTGCCATGCCATGGGCAGGAGGCCGTTCCAGACCAGCTGGGCTGGAGCAGTCCCCTACCTATCCCTGTTTAACCAGTTAACTGATTAAATGGGTTTTTACAGGCCCTACTCAGGACAAAATCAGATTTCAAGAATCGAAGTATGACTGTGTGCTATGTCTGAAGCGGAAATTAAATTAGTGATACCACATCTCCCAAATACATTTTTTTCTTAAGTTCTCATTTCCTGCTTCTGGTTCTCTCCTGTGAGCAGAAGTTAAACAAGACATACCATTGGATTTGCTAGCTAAACTCATTTTATAACTACGTATATACATCTTTGTATTAGGGATGTTAAATATTGGTTCATTGAATAGTTGAGTAATCTCATGAATTCTTATCGGTTAGTCGACTCCTCTATACTCCCTGGGGGTGGGGCTGGCAGCCAATGCACTCCAGCCTCACTCCCGAGAAGACCCCTGCCACTCCACACTGCCACCACTGTATCAGACAGAGTAGCGCAGGGTGCCTGGTGGGAGCTGGTCCACAAAGGGAGACAGTTTAAAAACCAGCTCCCCTTGTGGACTGGCTGCCTGTCACCCTGTGCTGCTACCTGTGATAAAGAGGCAGCAGTGCAGGGTGGCACCAACCCCAACAAGGGGGTAGTCTGAGCTCCCAGACATAGCGTGACCAGAACCGAGCTGGGCTGCCTGCCCAGTTCCTAATACGCTCTAAATGCAGAGCCACAGTGGTGAAGGTCCCAGACCCATTGCAAGCCAGGACTGAGCAGGGCTGCTGGCCAGCCTGCTAAAAAAGTTACTAGCGCGCGCGCGTGCGTGTGTGAGGGAGAGAAAAGAAGAGAAGAGAAGAGGAATGTGTGTAGTCTACAGCATTAATCTATAAGGTTATTGGTTAATCAACTACACTTTTACATCCCTACTTGTATCATAAAAGACAACTCTGGCACTTAATTGAATACAGTTCTGATTAACCACTGTCAAAATTTAAAAGCTTCAGCATGCCAGAAGCCAGCTCAGCATAACTCCCTTTGGACCTGTCTCAAAGGAGTAGCCATATTAGTCTGTATCTACAAAAATAATGAGGAGTCTTGTGACACTTTAAAGACAAAACAGATTTATTTGGGCATAAACTTTCATGGATATTAAGGATGTGAACAGAACTGGTTACCCGAAAGCAAGTTTCCTTGTAAGCTGCACAGCCACCCAGCAGTTTAACAAACTCCACCCAGGGAGCTCAGCTGATGGGCTGGGAAAAGAGCACTCTTGCTGAGCAGTAGCAGCAGCTGCCTGCTACAGACAGAGGAGCTCAGAGAGCAGGTTGGCAGAGAAGGGAAGGAGGGAGTAAGTGGCTGAAGGGAGTTGGAGGGGAGGAGAGTCCTGTCTACTGTATGGAAAGGAGAGGCAGAGGTAAAGGCAGAACCCCAGCACTCTCCTCAAGCCTCCTGGGCTGGGAAGGGGTGGGAAATAGGGGGTGGGCAGACCACAAAGCCTCTCCCTGGAGCACTGGGAAGGAGGGAAGCCACACGCCCAGGCCTCACTGCACCAGGCCCGGCTTTCTCCCCACCCTGCCCCCCAAGGTGTGGGGCGGAAGTCACAGCAGGCCAGGTTAGTCAGCTGAGCATGGGGGAGAGAAGAGGCCATGCAGCTTGGGGCTGAGGGCAGAGTTGCAGGACAGAGTGACGCATGACGTCACTGTTGTCCCACAGGAATTTTCTTTTAATAGAGACAGAGACCAGACACAGGATTCAATTTCAAACATTTCAGGTATTTCACCTGCCCAAATTCCCTGTCAGTTTTTTTGCTGGTTTCCTACTTTGTATGAGACCCACAAAGACAAGACAAGAAGTAAAGCTGACTATAATGTCATGTGTACCAACTCAGAACTCTGGAAAAAACGGTTGTAATTTCAGTTAGTAACTACTGGTAGAAAATTTCACTTAGGTGATTTTTAGCTTATACCCCCTTTTCAACATCCTTTATAAAACTAAAAATCAAATGACACTGCTTTTAGCTAGTGGATGGTTCAGAACTGAGTAGAACACTGCAGTTCTTCAGAGTGCAGCATACAGAGAAAAGCCTAGTCTACACTGTTTTTTGCTACAGGAATAGTCAACCATGAATTAGGATTTTATTTTTTACTGATGTTGTCATAGCAGCACAATACCCAGAATGGACAGTTATACCAAAAGGTACCCTTATGCTGGTATAGTTTACTTCCCAGCCCAAATAGGTATAAGCACATTTATAGGAGTGGTGCTGTACAATATAGTTAAAGCAGCACAATTGTTCTTATACACTTGCTTGGATTTGGTGCAACACTGAGAAAAGTACATTTTAAAAAGCCAAAGCATCCAGAGTAATGAATGTAATATTATGAAACACTAACTAGACAGCTGTAGAGACTGAAGTATGTGTTTAGCCAAAGGGAAAAAAGTGTAAGGGACAACTCTAGTGTCCACTTCCTCATGAGGATGGATCTGTCATAGACCCAAAGACAGAAAAGAGCCGAGTTCACGCCATTGCCCATACAGCTCGTGTGGCCAGGACTGAGACTACCAACAAATGTGATGGATTTGATAGAGACACTTGTCTACAAAAACGGACAATTCATTCAGATGGCAGTGACTCACTGTTAGTACTGGCCAACAGAAGGGGAAATTATTATTCTGTTTTCCATTTTGTCTGGAAGACTTCTGGAAAAATAGAACTGCAGACTTAATTCAAACGGATCAGATGCAAGTGCAGCTTCCTAATACCATTACACTTCTGAGCCACACTCCCCTACTATGGATGTTAAGCGGGTAATTCACTAATCATGTAGTTGATAAAAAATTCTATTGACTACATGATTAGTTGATAAGGGAAGTTAAAGCTCCTACCTCTTGCTGGTTCCAGGAGCTACCCCCTCTGCAGTTTAAATGGAATAAGAGCCAGGCAGACAGGCAGCCCAGCTGAGTCTTGGCTCATGCCCATCTGGGACCAAAGCCAGGACAGAGCCTGCCTGCCTGCCCTTAAATTTAAGTTGCAGAACCGCAGTGCGGGTAGGTCCCATACTGCCTGCCCATCTGGCTCCTACTACATTTTAAATGCAGAGCTGTGGCAGGTGTAGGTTCCCCACTGCAATAACATTAACAGATAAGCTTTTGCCAGCCATATGGCAAAGTGCGAGAGCTTGGGATGGTTTTAACTTTTCTTCTGGCCAAGAAACAGCCGTACTTCAGGTATGGATTCAAACAGCCCAGTCATTAATACCCTTCTAAATTTTGCTCAAACTTTTGCATCTGTCTGCAGGCACAATGCAGTGGGGAGCTACCAAATTTTCCTCAACATTGCATCAAGGAGAGGAAAAGTCATTTCTTAGCTTTGGCTCCCTAACAAGGTCGTATGAAACTAGTTCTCACTAGGTTATCCGCATTACATGGATCAAAAAGAAGCCTCAGATGGGGAAATAACAGAAGCTATATAATCACTTTTGCAACAAGACATGTTATAACTATACTCAAATACAAGACAATGACTGTGGTGCACTAGGTTAGTGGTCAACCAATTGATCAGGATCTACCGGTAAATCTCAAAGCCTCTGACAGGTGACCCTGACTAATTTGGCCAAGACGCTATCAAGTGCTGGTACTTCATCTGCCCCTCTCCCCACTGCAATGCTGCTCCTGCCCCCTGCTTTGGAGCTGCCCCAAAGGGCCTCCACTTGCTGCGCATAATAGGGGAAGCAGAAGAGGGCAATGCTGATGTCAGGAGGTCATCCTCCCTCCACCCCATACCCATCTCCACAGAGGGAGCAGGGCGGGGCAGGGCCTCAAAAAAAGAGATGGGGAAGGAGATGGGACAAAGATAGACCCTGGATTGACTTAAAATTGAACAAGTGATCTTGTGTTTAAAAAGGCTGGAGATCACTGCCCTGGATATATTCTGCTACCACTAGAGGGCAGATTAGCATTACAGGCAGCTTGGGAAGAAAACAGAATTCTATGGAACACAAAACCACCATCCATTTTTCAACTCAGTTCTTGCTTTGCTTTCATTTTAAAGAATTAAAAAAAGTCCCTTTGATACGCCAATTCTGCATAAAAACAAGCAAACTGAGCATGGTTTTAACTAAGATCTTGTCTACATGGGACCTTGGCATGCAGCTGAATGTGACCCTACAGCACATTAGCCTGCCATAGAGCAACATCTTATGCAGGCAAGCATTGACAGGTGAAAATGCATTAAATTGCAATACTGGGTAACAAAGTTCTGTTCTCTTACCTTCTGAAGCCCTACTAGCTCCCAAATCCCTTTCCAAACTGGATGAATTGTCAAATAGACTGATAGAAACCAACATGATTAACCAATCCCACACTCAAAACCCACAATGTCACTCTGCCTCTTGAATGATTAGAATGATACTTACCATTTTATTGTGCTTCTAAGATTAGGCTGACTTACTGTGCTGTCATCTATAAATATGGTCGAGCATGAGCTATATTTTTTTGTAAGCTGCCCTGGAGAAACCTAAAAAAAAAAAAAGAGGTAGAAAAGTGATCCTTCAATTTTGTTTACAGAAGTTTGGGTTTTGGATGTACAACTTCATCAACACATCCAAAATACTGCAGATGGATATTAAGCAGCAAACAAGAGGCACTTGCAGATTAATGCTTTGTTTCTAAGCTACCCTATATCAGTAATTATTCAAGATGCTGCTAATTCTGCATCACATACCAAAGTGTTCATGTACATAAAATACAAAACACGTATGTTTTAATTTTAGTTTGGGATCAGCTTTTTCCCTTCTTTTAATACATTTCCTCTATTTCAACTGCTCCCATGTCTCCTCTCAAATCCTGTTTATCTCCCTCTTCTTTCATACCTGGCACTTTAAACATGCTCCTATCTTCTAGGCATTTCCTCCTCCCTTTAAATTTCAGTTCCTCCATTAAACTCATTAGAGCACTCATAAGAGATAACCTTTCTTGCATTAAGAAGCCTTTCTTGTCATCTCAGCTTTTAAGTGTACTGGTTTTACTTTGGCTTTAAAGAATCAACTTAATCACACTTGTCTGATTTTTCCCCCTTCTGTTTATAATTAATACACAGAGTTAGTAATTCATTGCTGTGCTTTCTTGTGTCTGTTTCCTCCATTTGTGCAAATCTTTCCCACAATGTAGGAAAGAAATAATTGTATTTTTTTAAACTAGGAAAAGACAATTGTATAATCAGCAAAATAAGTAGAGATTTTTGAGGTACACACATGGCTCAACAGCTCCTCTGAGCCTTCTTTTGCAATCTAGGTTCTAAGTTGACAGTGACCAACATCTTATATCTTATGGATTGTTTTACTTACATGGTTGATGTGGTTACTCTTCCTCTTCTCTCGCACTAGGAATGGGGGAGGAAAATGAACTCAGTTATAAATTAAGAAGTTCCATAGTAAGGCACACAGTTGTATCAAATAAGATGTACTGTTTTTCCAAAATATAAACAAGCAACACACAGGATGCTATTTTAGCATTTTCTAATTCTATATCAGGAATTCAATTCTGAAGACAAAAAACAAAACAAAAAACAAACAAAAAAAAATCAATGAACTTTTAATAATTCATAAAGCCATTAACAAATCCACTCCCATTTATCTGAATGGTCTGGGAACAGCCAAAACTTTCAGTTAACCGGCATCTGGATAAATGGAGGTGCCAGAGAATTTAGTACTAGAACTCAAAGGAAGCAAGAGGCAGTGGTTAGGTCTAGCTGTACTTTGACCCTGTATCTACAGGGATGTCAGGTGGTACCCAAAGGAAGGTAGAGAGGAGGGTAAAGAAGGGGACATAGCCACAGAAGATAGGAGCATCCCTGATGTTGCTTGAACACTGACAGCTTCAGTATAAATAGTGAGTAAGACTAGCCCCCTCCACTAGGGCTTTCAGTGCCAAGGAGCACTGAAGCACCACCAAGGAAGCTATTCCTCCTTGAACTACTCCCTCTCTGCCTCCTTTCCTTCCCCTTCTGTCCCCTCCACCCTCTCCTCTGCCACTCTTCCTGTCCCTTCCTCCTACCGCACTTGCTTCCCCTTCATTCAAGTCTTCCTCTCCCTCTCTCCCCTCCCTTCATTTTTTGTCTGTTTTCTTGCTTTTTCCTCTCCCATTCTCTCCTTCTTCCCTTCACCCCTTCTCAATCCCATCTCAGGAAATCTCCCCAGTCTCAGTTCCTGCAACTGTCATGTTAACCAATCAATGATAACTCAGGGAGGGGAGAGAAGGGGTAACAAGTTATCTAGGAGCAGTGGTCCACCCACAGAGGGCTGCTCCAGTCCAGCTGCTGGCTCCCAGCCTACACAAACTAGGAGTTGACAGCCTTGCACAGGGCCGCAAGCAGCCAGGCTGGAGCAGCCCCTCCCTGCCTGTGGCACGGGGGCTGCAAAGGTTCCCCTGCCTTCCCAATATAAGCAATTAAGCTTAACAGTTAACTGGTTAAATAATTATATGGGATTTTACATCCTTAGTGGGGAGGGAGGAGAGGAAACACTGGCTTTGTACAGTATAAAAGCAATTCAGAAAACTGAAGTTATGATGTAGTTCGAATAAAATAAATGATAGAGCATAAACTGAGTTTAGAACTACATTAAGCATTGCACTGTGTCACTCGCACAGTCTCCTAAAGTGCAGGGGTGTTGAAAATGTTTGGAGGCTAACTGAACTCTTTGGCAGTCAAACACAACTGATAAAAGCTTTTAGTTCAAGATATTATCTTACTTCACCTGTAAGCTGGGCATTGTACAAGTAGCCATTTGTTTTCATACGCACAGATGGAAACAGTCTCAGCACCAACATCAGACCCCACCACACAAGTTCAAAACTTGTGTTTTGGGAAGATTTCAGAGGTGCAGATACATTCAGCTGTTTCCACTGCCGACTATTAGACTAGTTCAAAATGAGTACCTAGATATCAATGTTTTCACAGAAATGGTTAGGACAAAACCACGTGCATATTGGTATTCAGGCTGTCTGTCAACCATAATAGACGTCCTCTCCTCCAAAGGTAATAAGCATGGATTTAGTTGTACTCAAACTAGGCCTTCGAGATCTTTCATTTAATATTGTTTTATTTATTGCCCCCTCTGCAGTATTCCCTTTGAGCAGAGACTAATGCTATTTTCTGTATTAACCATTAGGGAGCTAAGGATGAAGCTTGAACATAGCTGTGTTACACAACCAAGTCAGTCCAAGAAATGAAATACTCAGGGTCTCTCTTCAGAAAAAGCGAGGACAATTTTTATGGCATTTGGTTATGAAGTTCTAATATTTGCAACATTCTCTCTCTAGATCAGGGGTAGCAACCTATGGCTCAGATATGGCTCTTTTGAAGCAGGCAGCCCGTGCTGGCACTACAATAGGTCTGGGGCAAAACGGTCCAGCCCGCAGACATAGATGGGAACCCACAGGCAGACTACCTGCTTGCTGTGCAGAAAAGCAGCTCTGCGGGGCTCTATTTTTCACACACTGTGAGCAGGGAGGGGAGGAAGGAGCAGTGCCTCATGGCTAAGGCCAATCCCAACACAATCCCATTGTCCAGTTCTGGCTAATGGAAGCTGCTGGTTTCAAGAACAGGCAGTGTGGGAAGCACCAATCCCCCCTCCCTTCAGGCTCTTAGTCACCGGCACACGGCCAGGCAGACTGGCTTTTTTGGGGGAGAGGAGGTGGGGGAAGGGAGAAAGGGGGAGAGGCTCCTGCCAGAGAAACATGCTGAGCTGCATCTCACTGGTAAGTGTCCTGGCCAAAGCCTGCCTCTGGCACTCCAGCCTCTCCCTCAGCCCTCTATCTGCCCATTGCTATCCCCTACCCCACATAACCCAAACCCTCTGCCTCCCTCCCGAGCCCATACTCCCTCCCACACACCTCACCCCAATCATAATCTCCCCCTGCCCTAGGTCACAACCCAAACCCCTGCACTGTAACCCATGCCCTAGATCACAACTGCCTCCTTCACTCAAAACTCAGTGGCCCCGCAAACCAAAGAGGTTTCCCACTCCTATAAATCAAAGACAACGTTGAAATCTTTTGTGTTGGGTGTAATATTTCACTATATTTAAAAATGAAATCTGGCCAATAAGCCACCAATTGGGATCCAGCCCCCATCTGGCCACAGCATCTGCACATACACCAACCCTGAGCCCATCATACACCTGAACCCCCTGCCATGAGCCCCTCATAATCCCCACATCCCCAGCCCCCTGCCATAAGTGTGACAGAAGACAGCCTGAATATGTGCATGAAGCTGGATTTGACCAGTTATGATGCAGACTTCAAAGAAATGTGTGAAAAGATACAGCAGCAGAAGTCCCACTAAAAGTCTGTGAGTACAATGTTTCATTTATACTATTAATATTATTAATAGACAACTGATAATGATTAAGTTGTATAGCTTCGGTCATGCAAATGGTCATCTTATACAGCTTTTGTTGACCACTTGTTCTGAATTTTAATGTACTTTGGGTCTTTCCTTTGAAAAGGCTGCTCCAGCTGATCTTAACTTCTAACTCTTCTGAGGGTGAAAGGGCTTTTAGGTAGGCTGGAGATTAGGTGGAGTCATGGGGAGGAAGGACTAACTACAGTGCCCACCTCTATCACTCAGATTTCCTCAGCAGTATAATCATGATGCTGACATGACTGAATCCCCTAGGAGGGCAATTGTGAACAGAAGCTCTGAAAATGACAGACTATAAAACTATAAGCAAGCAGAAGCCACACTGAAGCTTTCGGTTAACACAGAGAGGCCCTTAAGTTTTAAGGTTGCAAAGATAACATTCCAAATAAGGACTAGAAACTTTAAAAAGAACTGAACATTAAAAGGGACCAATCAGTTCACTTTTTCTACTCTACTACTGTCACAAATAACATTTCTATAACTAAAAGATGAGAACATTTTTCCATTATTTCAGTTTACAGTAAACTTCCAATAATCCAGCACCTTTGGGACCTAGGTGGTGCTGGATTATCAGATATGCCAGAGTATCAGGATATATTCCAGCGGGGGGCTGTGACAGGTCTGCCGGGACCCGCACTGCATCCGGGGGATGGGTGGGGAACGGCACTGCGAGGGGCGAATCCTCAGCCATTTTTCAGGGAGGCGGGGGAAGACCCGTGCAGCCGCCGAGAGTTTCTGGGAGGGGAACAGGCTCCCCAACCCCCAGACTACCGTAGTTATCGCCGATCAGGGGGATGAGGGGCGGTGCTGCAGGACCAACCTGGCAGCACCCCGGCTGCTTCCCCCTGCTGCTTCCCCAAGTCCGCCGCTCCCAGAAACTCTTGGCGGCGGCGTGGGGCTGAGCGCAGCCGGAACGGGGCAAGTTCGGAGCCTTAGCTCTCGCGGCTGCGCGGGGCTTCCCCCGCCTTCCTGCAAAATGGCAGAGGGTTTGCCCCTCTCTGCGCCATTCCCCGCCCACTCCCCACCCGGACGCAGTGTGAGTCCCAGAAGACCCGTCACAGGGGTATAATTCCCTTCCCCTCTTCTCCCCTTCCCTTTCCCAGCCGCGAGCGCCCATGGGGCTCACAGCAGCTCCAGTTGTCCGGCTGGCCGGAGCACTTCCAGGTTCCAGTTGATGCCAGACTATTAGAAGTGCTGGACTACTAGATGCCAGACAACTGGGGTTTTACTGTATTTAGCTTGTGCATTCAACAGCCTTTAGTGGTCAGATAGCTTCACTGTTTGCCCTGTATAGTCAGTTTCCAGTGTATGGGTCTTTCACACGAGCATTTTTTTTTTAAGTGAGTAAATCTGTTCACGTGTATATGAGGGACTCAAGAACAAGTGTGCTTTCTGAAACCTTACAAAACAGAACAGATGTCAAATGGACAATGTCCCTTACAAAATGAATGGCTCCAGCTCACCATTCACCAGGGAAAGCTTCCCACTTGCAAGTAGGTTTTTCAGGCCTTGGTCATATGACAAGTGTCCTCTGCAGCTAGAAAAATCCCAAAGAAATAAAACAAACCTATTCTCCCAGGCTACTAGAATCAAGAAACATGATCTCCTGATATTTAGTATCAACAAAGCAACAAGAGAACTTTACTGTGAAATGGCACTGTCATAATAAAACAGCCTATGAAGAGTTGCACATTTTTATGCTAGTAATTCCTTCCTGTGATGCAGGTTAACACACAAAGGCAATGTAATGTATGTTTCTAAGACCTGCAATTCAAAAATCCAGTTATTGTTATTTGCCCCAATTTTCAAAAACAAACAAGCATCAACTTACCATCTGTTTGGGATTTGCTCAGGAAAATTGTGCTTGCTCTGGGATGGTCAGATGGATTTGATTCCAAGGCTAAATCTGAAAGACAGCACAAAGAGATGGCATTTCAGAAGAAGAGAAGAAAGAACAAGCCTCTCTATGTGTCCATGAAGAGAACATTATGAAGGCTGTCCAACTCTTGCAGATCTATATCAGTTTTCAAATCCGTAAAAGGGTGTTAAAATGCAGATTTCTTAGCTTGAGGTCCCAAACAGAAATCCAGTCTACACTATCAGTTTTTAAAACTGCAGTAAGCAAATGGATGTACAATTTTCAAGCCAAGTTAATTAGGGCAGAGGACAAAAATAATCTTGCTAAATAAGCAGGTTTTTTTTTTTAAACTTTATTCAAGTTTCCTTTTTCACAAAGAAAAGTTGATAGACACGTTAATACCATTCTTGTGATCAGCATCAATCCTGAGGAACAGCAACATTTGTCACCTCTTGCTGGTGATATCACACTAGCTAAGAAGCTGTTCCCTGTTATCCCCTACTGCAAGGATTTCCCCCATCCCAATTTAGGAGATCATATTTTTGTGGAAAGTGGAGTAAGCTGAAGATACTTGCTGTTGTCAGATGCCTCTTGCTTACAAACTCCCTATATATTCCCAGCCAGTCTGGTTTCCATTTGGTGCTTAGTATGGTAAACAATACTACCTCCCACCAGATTGGTTTACATCAGTTTTGAAGTACTTTGCTATAAGCATGCTCAAGCTTCACTTGAGTGTAAGCTTCTCGCCACTAGACCTACTTCTATAGAAAACATGCCAGATGTACTGAATACCATGTGGACAAAGTAGCCTGGCTATGAAACTACATTTCTGCCTGTACTAGTGGAAAACTAATCTCATAAAATTTAAATTACAGGCAGTCCCCAAGTTACGCGGATCCGACTTGCGTCCCGCCGCCCGCCTTCTCCGGGGCGAGAAAAGCTGCTCCCCGTCTCCCTGGTCTGCTGGGGGAGCAAAGCGGCGGAGGACCCGGGCCGGACCTGCGGCGCTGATCTTTTTAGAGCAGGCCTGCCGTCAGTTCACACCCTGCTGATGAAAGCCCAGACACGCTGGGCTGGCCATGTTGCAAGGATGCCAGACCATCGCATCCCTAAACAGCTCTTCTATGGTGAGCTGTCTCAAGGAAAGCGATTGCACGGGGGACAAAAGACATGCTTAAAGCCTCTCTTAAGTCCCTGGATATCGACATCACCTCCTGGGAGACCGTGGCACAAGATTGATCGACATGGCGCATGCTGATCCACCAAGGCTGTCAAACATCTGAAGCCAGAAGGACAACCATAGCACAAGAGAAGCGAGCACTCCGTAAAGCCAGAGTTGCAAACGTTGCAACAGTGGTGCCTACACATGTCTGCCCGACATGTGGCAGAACATTTCGTGCCCGCATTGGCCTTACCAGCCATCTGCGGACACACCGTGGACAGCCCACAACTCGTTAGATGTCAAGGTCCTCTTCGAACACGATGGACAAACAAGCAACACCACAGGGGTGTGAGCCCTTTAAACAGAAGCAGCTGAAAGGGCTCACATGTCCCCGGCTCCCAGGCAACATTCTAGCAGCGAGACTAGGAGCAGCGAGTCCCTTAAATAGCAGGAATTGAAAGGGCTTACAGCTCCGGTCTCTGGCTAATGAGATGCCTAGGAGTCACAGGGGAGGCGTGAGCCCTTTCAACTCCTGCTATTTAAAGGCTCTGCCCCTTCTGGAGTGGCCCATGACCATGTCAAAAATTTCTGAAGTGGCCCCCCCCCACTCAAAAATTATTGCCCACCCGTTTTAAACCAAGACTTGCATAAGAACTTGCAAGCTATCAATTCATTCTCCTTTGAAAGTCCAATCCTATTCTCAACATTAAAAAAATACCTCTGCAAAACCAACAAATCCTACAGATTGGACCTGCTTGGTCCAGCACCCTAAGGACCTGACTGGTCCCGAACCAGGGAATTTGCTGGACCAGGGAAGGTCCCCTGCTGCAAAGTGCTCAAAGTGACACACAGACCTGGGGGATCTGGATCTGCTTCTACAGGCTACCCAGGGCTCTAGCCCCAACCCCATGCTGTCACGGGCTGCCCCAGACCCAATCCCCGTGGGAAAGGCTGTTGGGGGCTACACCAAGGGCTTCACCCAGCTCTGCTCCTGAATTGCCCTCCTGCCACTAGGCTACCAGGGTGCTCCGATCCCGGAACATCACAGTGCACCAGTTTTGGGAGGTGCAACCTATAGTTAACTTATCTTAGCCCCTGCTGGGGAAACGTAAAACAAAATACATGCCTATTCCATCACATGCACTAATCAGGCTTTCCAGGGATTGAGAGAAATTTAACAAGCCTCATCACCTGAAGCTCTGTTTACAGGAACAAGTAGCATTTTGGGTAGGCAAACAGCTGGAATGTAAAAGGGGACAAGAATTCCAAGTGAGAAAATAAGACCAATTAACACATTTGTAGAAGGCAAAAGGGACATTAACACTATGTATCTGGGAGAGGGAAGAAATATCAAAATCTGGGTGAAATGAAAGGACATTTTAGTATGGCAAACAGAAAATTAATATTAGAGGGATAGCCATGTTAGTCTGGACTTGCAAGAGCGACAAGGAGTCCTGTAGTACCTTAGAGACTAACAGATGTATTGGAGCATAAGCTTTCGTGGGCAAAGACCCATTTTATCAGATGCATGTAGTATATTTCCACTACATGCATCTGACAAAGGGGTCTTTGCCCACGAAAGCTTATGCTGCAATACAGCGTTTCCGAAACTATGGGCCGCGGCCTGCTACCAGGTTGTGGGGAAAAAAATACCGGGCCTCAGCATGCCTGGTGGCTACCGGCCTTAGGCCCATTCGGACCCCGCGCCCCTGAACCCGGAAATGCTGATGAGTTACAGAGCCGATATGTGGAGCTGGGTCTCTCCCCCGGCTCTGCCTGGCACTGGCCCCCCGCACGTCCTTCCACCCCCACCCCCAGAGCATCCCCGCCGTGCGCGGCTTCTTCTCACCGCCTACTGCTGCCCATCTGCA